TATTTTACTAGTCTATTGTAGTCCATCTAAGAAATTAGGTTTCAAAGCTAGTGAATTTTTAAAATTGCTTTTTGGCAAATTTGAGCATTAGCATATCTTATAACAATTGATATTACAAGATGGTCACTGTTTTTAAGTTCTTTGAGTCCTTCTCTCAGTCTTCGGAACCTCTCGCTTCGAAACCCGATTCCAAACAAAAGAGAGGCATTGCTTTTGAGTGACTTAGGGCTACAACAAAATGTTATATATTTCAATGCAAAGGATGTAACATAATAATTATAAACGATTTTAGAGTACAATATATGTAATTCTCTTGAAATTTTAAGCACGCATACTTTTTTTAGCTCACCTGAGCCGAAAGCTCAAGAGAGCTTTTCTGATCAAAATTTGTCCGTTGTCTGTCATTGTAGTCGTTGTCGTCGTTGTTGTTGTCGTCGTCGTAAACTTTTCGCATTTTCATCTTCTTCTCAAGAACCACTGGGCCAATTTCAACCAAACTTGCTACAAAGTATCCTTGGGCAAAGGGGATTCAAGTTTGTTCAATGAAGGGCCACGCCTTTTTCCAAGGGGAGATAATTATGAATTAGAGAAAAAATTAATGACATTTTAAATAAATCTTCTTCTCAAGAACAAATGGACCAGGAAAGAGGACACTCATGTGGAATCATCCTAAGGTAGTGTAGATTCAAGTTTGTTCAAATCATGACCCCCGGGGCAAGAGTGGGGCCAAAATGGCCGACCCAAGTTTTACATAGGGATATATAGGAAAACTCTTTAAAAATCTTCTTCTCAAGAACCACTGTGCCAGGAAAGATGAAACTAATGTAAAATTATCTTCAGGTAGTGTAGATTCAAGTTTGTTCAAATCATGACCCCAGGGGCTAGGGTGGGGCCAAAATGGCCGACCCAAGTTTTACATAGGAATATATAGGAAAACTTTTTAAAAATCTTCTTCTCAAGAACCACTGGGCCAGGAAAGATGAAACTCATGTGGAATCATCTTAAGGTAGTATAGATTCAAATTTGTTCAAATCATGATCCCCGGGCTAAGGAGGGGCCAAAATGGCCGATCAAGGTTTTACATAGGCATATAAAGGAAAACACTTTAAAAATCTTCTTCTCAAGAACCACTGGGCCAGGAAAGACAAGACTCATGTGGAATCATCCTCAGGTAGTGTAGATTCAAGTTTGTTCAAATCATGATCCACGGGGCAAGGGTGGGGCCAAAATGGCCGACCCAAGTTTTACATAGGAATATATAGGAAAAATCTTTAAAAATCATCGTCTCAAGAACCATTGAGACAGGAAAGGTGAAACTCATGTAAAATTATCCTCAGGTAGTGTAGATTCAAGTTTGTTCAAATCATGACCCCCGGGACCAGGGTGGGTCCAAAATTGCCGACCCAAGTTTTACATAGGGATATATTGGGAAACCTTTTAAAATCTCCTTATCAAGTATTCAAAGTCATGATTAGTGATATTTATATGGAATCATCCTCAGGTAGTGTAGATTCTAGTTTGTTCAAATCATGAACCCCCGGTGGGTTAAAATTCAAGCCCCCCCCCCCCCCACCTCAGTAAACTTTTAGTTCTGATCTGATATGTGCTTTTTCCTAGCCGATGTGCTCAGGTGAGCGCTGTGGCCCCTGGGCCTCTTGTTCATTTTCTCGCCCCCTCCCTTTTTTGAGGAGATATATTTAGGCATTTGAAATCAAATAAATTTATTTGATTATCACTTCTGTTTCTATGGATGCAAGACCGACAGACAGACCGACCCCCCTTCTTGAAGGGGGGGAAATCATTTATATGGTAAGAAATTTAAGAGTCGGAAAAATCTTTTAGCTTCTGTGACAGAACGCTAGGGGGAAAGTCGCCTAGATCACGTGATTCTCTCATGGGCAGAACAGATGCAGATGCGCGTTAAAATCGGAGAGGGCTACTTTTAGTACAGATATCTTTTTGGAAGTTATTCAATTAATTCGCGAATTTTCTGATCGCCCCTCATATAAAACATTTTTTCTCTCTGCTCAACGAATCATTAAAAAAAAACGACGGCATAAAAACGTATCTTTCATGTTTTTTTCAGGTATCCCTGTTCAAGAACTGGTTTCATGCATCGCATTATCACCCGACGTTTTTACTATATCTATTAAGCACTGAACGTGAATATACAAACGTGCGTCTTTCAACGTTATGTATCAAATATTATATAAATTCTATGAAAATCAATCTAAATTTTGTCATATTATATATCCAGATAGGCTTTCAATACAGAAAACACCACTAGCAATGTTAATTTTGAAAATCATAAAATTGCGAGGGACCAGGGATAATTGCTTTCTCTATATGCATTTGACATTTTTTCTTTTACCATTTGGTTTAAATAATGAAACTTTCATTTTCCAACACTGTCCAAAAATATTTTGATCAGATACCTTTTGAAATAATTTAAATGTTTCTGAAAAACCGTATTGTTTATTTTCCTTTCATAGGGTACAAATATAAACTTAGGGCCTACTTCAAGATAGTTTCAATACCAGAATGATCAAAGAACATTCAAAGTTGCAGGGATCAATGATATGAAAATTATTTAACAAAAGACATCAATTTCAAGCTTTATTTTGAGGTGTGCTTAATTTAACATTGATTTTAGAGCTATCCTTCCTGGCTGCAAGCATGATACTTAAGGCTTGTTGCAATTAAACCAAATAATAAATCAATAACCAGTAATATTTCTTCATATTCTGTCTTTTTGATCATGTTATAAACAAGAGGCCCACGGGCCTTATAGGTCACCTGAGTATCATGTAACAACTTTCCAGCGATTGTATTTGGTTCGTGTTTTAATCCAAAAGCCTTGAAATTCACAAATTTTGAAAGAGGCACCATTGCTTATCAAAGGGCAGATTTCAAAGCAATAATTTATTTTTAGTCAAAGTACCCCCCCTGGTACCCCTGACCCAGCGGCCCTGAAATTATCTATTTTGAAAGAGGCCCCTTTCTTCATTACAAGGCCAGCATTTTTTTATGTTTAGGGTTAGTTATGAACATGAGAATAAAAAAGTCCCAATGGAGAAGGAAATAAAAAAATATATTTTGATAAATCAATTATTAACATTTGTACATTCTTTTTTTTTATGCTATCCTAATAGGCTCCTTACCACTGGACACATAATGCTTACAAATAGGAAAGTAGAACATTTAATTGCTTATTTCATCATCTGCCAGTTTGGGCAAGTTACATAAATTTTGTGATGTTGATCAAAATATATTTTAAATAATCAATTCTTTAAAAGTCTTTCAATATATCTTCATTTTTTTAATATGTGTTAGGTGAATGTGTAGACATTGTTCTAAAATTTACTTGATGCCTAAAATTATAATTCCTATCATAAAACAGACAGAGAGTACTGGGGAGTAGGGTGAACATTTTTTCAATTAAGTGTAAAATAATTTTTCTGGCTGATACAAATGATACTACCTGCCTGTATAGTTTTGTATATTCTTGCCTTTTACTAGTTGAATTATTTTATATTTCTTCAGGTTATTGTTTATTTCTTCCTCAAATGGACTTAACTTCTCCCATAGTTTTATTCATTACATCTGATGCATAAGCAACCCTTTTCTGAAGAATGATGTTTAGACTGTAAGCTATAACAGAGACCTAAACAATGTCGCTGGTAATATGCAATAGCTAACACGGGCAGTTTAAAACCTGGGGGAGGAAAATAATTTACAGGCAGATACTTTTGAAACGAATACATAATTATCTCACCAGCATGTCATTGTGCAACAAAGTCGTCAGCATTTTATTTGTCCTTTGAACGGGTGAAACGTTTTGAATGGCACTCTTATCGATGAATTTTACACTAAACCAAGCTATCTTCTCAGATACCCGCCGTTTCATCGTAAAACCGGAAGTGCGAGTTCGTAAATTTGAAATCTCGATCCCGACTCAAATTTGACATCGGAAAGAAAAATTTTTTATAAATATTTTTTTCATAAAAATTAAAAACCTTGAGCGGAAGGTTTGTAAAACTGAAAATAAAATAAATCCTGGCCTTAAATATGTAATTAGATCATTAGCATATTAACCAGGAGCAAAGGATAAGATGTTCAAAGAATTCATGTATTTCACTATATAATCATTAGAGCCCCACCCTAAAACAAGAACCCATGACCCTGGGGCCATAAAAATCACAATTTTGGTAGAAGCACTCTTGCTCATCATAACTATGTACTTAGTTAGTTTATTTATACCCAGGAGCAGAGAAGAAGATTTTCAAAGAATTCATGTATTTTCACTATATAATCAATAGAGTCCCGCCCTAACGCCAGAACCCCTGACCCTGGGGCCATAAAATTCACAATTTTGGTAGAGGCACTCTTGCTCATCATAACTATGTACTTAGTTGGTTTATTTAATTCCTAGGAGCAGAGAAGAAGATTTTAAAAGAAATAATGCATTTTCATTACCTATTTATTTAGCCCCGCCCTAGCATTAGAATCCCTGACCCCAGGGCCATGAATTTCACAATTTTGGTAGAGGACTCATTGCTGATTACAATCATGCAAACAGTTTGACTGCTTGGTGTCCAGGAGTAAAGAAGAAGATTTTTAAAGATTGCATTAATTTTAGTGGTTTTGGCCCCACCCCTCAGGCCCCAGGGGGACAGGGACCATGAAATTCACAATGTTTGTTCCCCTTCACCCACAGATGCTGTATACAAAATTTGGTTGAATTTGGTTTAGCGGTTTCAGAGAAGAAGCTGAAAATGTTCAAATGTAAACACACGCCGAACGACGGACGCCGACGGACAAACACGGATGGCAATAGGTCACCTGAGTGACTCAGGTGACCTAAAAAGGGGGAGTCCTGTGGCCCATTTTTCTTTAATAAAAGTGCTATAACTTATATAATTTTTTTTCTGGGAGCAAATGCGTACATATTCATCTACATATTGATCTATATAAATTTCATTTACAAATAAATAAAATTAATAAACATACCTTTCCATGTAATCGAGTATAAGATTTGTTACTTTTCCAGAACCCTTCACAATGATCACAGGAATGTTTCTTTTCACAGACTCTACTATCTGTTCTATGCTGTTTATATCCCCTTCAACCAAAACTCTAACAACAGGAATAGGTAGCACTGTAAATGAATAACGAAAAACAAGATATGTTTGTGTAACACTAATGCCCCAGTATGACAACATATATAGAGAGGTTTTGAGTTTTTCAAATGCTTGTTAAACTCTGAAGTTAAAGTTAAAAGGAGAAAAATGTTGGTATCCAAAGGAAGATTTTGTCACAAGGAATATGCCTGTGAAAAATGAAACCCTATTACTAACTGGTCTTATGTTTTGCGTACGTTTTTTTCAAATATATCAAACTCTAGGGCCAGGGTAAAAAAGTCAAAAATACTATTATATCAAGGAAATATCTTGACTCAATAAATGCACATGTGCAAAATAAAAGTCCTAGTACAAACTGTTCAAAAGTTCAGGCCAAGGTTAAAGTTTTGAAAAGTCTAGGTCAAGAGATTAAATTCGTTGGTACCTTAAAAAAAAGACTTCTCACATGGAATATACATGTCAAATATGAAACCAATAGCCCCGACCACTTTAATGGAAATATTGATTTTTTTGCGTTTAAAGAGATAGACAGACAGACGGACGGGCAGGACAAAAATTATAAACACCGAAACTTCGATAACGGGGACATACAAATATGTTTCAGTTACATAGGAAAAACTTTAATGCAAAATCCAAACGGCGATAGTCGGACTTGTTGGTATCCAAAGGAAGGGTTTATCATAAGTAATATGTCTGTGAAATATGAAGGCCCTAATGGACATTTTCGAATGGGTGAACTTCTAGAGCTATCAGCGACTATGACTAAACAAGTGTGGAAAGCATGTTGTGCCAAAATGAAATAACTGATACAAACAAATGATATACATGTAATCTAAATCAATCAAAATGGTTATTGGATACATTCGATTCTGCATTTTCAAACGAAAAAAGGATTCCATACAATATCATATTACATCGGCGCAAAATACAAAATTTCAACAAAACTATCATACTATTAAATGATGAACTATATTTTTAATATATGAACCACAGTACTTCTGACCCCTTGAAAATAGTTCAAATAATCTTTTAAGTAGGTTATCAACATTAGCTCGGGCTAGTTCGAAAGAGAAATTTGGAGTTTGGTTCGCAATAACCCGTGTTCATAAATCTTGGCTACAAATTCTGAATCAGAAGTTTGAATTCGAGTACATTCTCGAAATGTAGGTTATAAAACTTACGATTAAACAAGAGGGCCATGGACCTTATAGGTCACCTGAGCATCATGCAACAACTTTCCAATGATCGAATTTGGTTTATATATTAAGCTAGATCCCATGGAATTCACAATTTTGAAAGAGACACCATTGCTCATCATAACCATACACTTAGCAATTGCTTAGTTTTGTTACTTAATACCCATAGGCAGGGTAGGGGAACACTAATGCATTTCAACTAATCAGTGATGCATGTATTCAGCAATAATCAGTGGTGTCCTTACCACACATGAACTCCTGACCCTAGGTCCTCATATTGCACAATTTTTGAAAAGGCACCCTTGCTTATCAAAAATGTTTGATTAATACCAAGCAGGTTTGGGGCGAATTACATCGTAAAGTAATGCATTACATTACCATTACTTCACCAATTTGGGCTTAAATTACCTATAGACTATTTTCTAAAAGTAATTCATTACATTACCATTACTTTAGTAAGGTAATGCATCACCATTACCATCACTTTTTGAGGTTTAAAAAAAAAAGATATACAAAACTTTGCAATTTTTACATAAGCATGCATCCACTCCCTTCAAAACTAAACATGATAAATGATAATTCAAATTTGACTTCAAGTAATAGTATATATAACGCTGCCAATAACATGCATTCAAGGAGTTCAAGCTTTTAAAGTGTCAGTTATTAAATAAATACAGTCAAACTTGTTTTAAGAGGCCACCTTTGGTAAGTCTGGAAACTGGCCACTTAAGACAGGTGGTCTCTTATTCCAGTTCGCCCTCGAAAAGGACATTCGGTGAATATATAAACAACATTAAGCAATACAGTTAAATTAATTAATCAAATAATAAAACAGGTCAATTTTACAAAAGCTTTAATGTATATATAATAATTCAAGCTCATTTAAAAAGAATATTAAAGAAATTGGAAATATTTATGGTTTTGTGCATGTTTCTGTTCCAACATATTGGTTAAACATCTTGCATTCATCAGTGTGCTTTTGCTACTGTAACATTGAAATATTAAATCAATATTTATAAGTATTAAATAAATTCTTTTAATTTTCATTTGAAGAAATACATGCAGTGCCTGACTATTCTCTTTTTTTTATAAAGAAAAAAACCCGACAAAAATACAGTTTAATGGAAAATAAAGCATAGAAATTAAAGTAAGAATAAGTCAATAAAAATTTCACTTTCATATGTTCAAAAATGGTCAGCAGTGTAACCCCCCCCCCCTTAATTAATCGGCAATTAACTTACTTGCTGAAGTTTTTAAAGCCAGGTAAATTTTATTGTTTATCAAAGCTGTCAGAGTTTCTGGGTAACATACACAGACACACAAATAAAATTAATCAGTTGACCAGAGAGATGTATATACGCAGTTGAAAATTATTCCACAACACAGGTGTCCTGTGCAGTAGAGCGTAACTAATCCCTATCGATTGTCTCCTGATAGTGAAATTCACGAGATAATTATGCTACATGAAGCACTTTGTTTTCACAAGAGTAGCAATTAGGGCTTCTACATGGAATCAAAATTTAAAAGGTGTGAATTTCTTTAGCTAGAGCAAAGTATCAATTGTAATTAAATCCTTTTAATTTTTCAATCGGCGATCTTGAAAAATAACTACAAATTGATCTAACAGGAGAAACATTTTTTTTCATAAACACAAACAGAGTTCAGCGTATCTAAAAGCAATTTGTTTAATTGCACTAATAGGTTAAATTGACTATCAAGGATATAATTACCCATGCCAATGCGTTTAAAAGACGTGATAGAATCGTACAAGTGACGAAATGGCCGCCTATTACAGTGTCAATAAGGCTGTGGGTGAGGATTTGAGTGGCTGCTGGCCGCGTTACACAGGTGGCCGTTTATTCCAGTTAAAATATATAGGAAAAATCGTCGGGGGGAACTGAAAGTGGCCGCTGACCGCGAGTGGCCGTTGATTTTGGGTAGCCGCTAAGACAAGTTTGACTGTATAAAACTTGTACAATATGAACTTTTTGTGTAATTACTTTTAAGCAATTAAACTTTTGGGGCACTTTAACCCCTGCCCAAAATATCTAATAATACAACATAGGCTATTTTTATATGGTATCTAATGAAAAAAAATTAATTTCTTAGTATACTCCATAGAAAATAATGCTTTGTAATGTTATGTAATGCCAGCATTACACAGGATCTTATGAAGTAATGCATTACATTACCAAACATGTAATACAAATTTTTGGGCATTAAACATTACTAGCATTACTTTGAGTTCATGTAATGCATTGCAATGCATTACCTTTACAATTAGCATTACCCCAAGCCTGATACCAAGGGGCAGATTTCAAACGATTAATTCATTTTCAGTATATAAATAGCGTCCCCCCTTGATCGTACCCCTGACCCTGGGGCCTTGAAATTCAAATTTCTGGAAGAAGGGCCCTTGCTCATTAAAGGTAGTTCATCTGCTTAAAAACAATGAAAAAAGGAGATTTTCAAAGACTCAATGTATTTTCACTATATAATCAATAGAGCCCACCATAACACCAGAACTCCTGACCTTCACAATTTTGGAAGATGCACTCTTGCTCATCATTACTATGTACTTATTTAATACCAAGGAGCGGAAAAGATTTCCAAAAAAATAATGCATTTTCACTATATAATCTACATATCCCCACCCTTGCCCTTGACCCTGGGGCCACGAATTTCACAATTTTGGTAGAGGACTTAATGCTCATTACATTCATGCCAACAGTTTGACTGCTTGATGCCCAGGAGTAAAGAAGAAGATTTTTAAAGATTGCACTAATTTTAGTGGTTTTGGCCCCAATCCGCAGGTCCAAAGGAGTCAGGGACTATATAATTCACAATTTTTGTTTCCCGTCACCTATAGATGCTGTATACCAAATTTGATTTAAATTGGTTAAGTGGTTTCAGAGAAGCTGAAAATGTTCAAATGTTAACACTCGACGACGGACGAAAACGGATAATAATAGGTCACCCGAGTGACTCAGTGACTTGAAAAGACGTATAATGCTGAAAGCTTGGATGAGATTTACTACGACAAATGAAATACTGGGAAGGCATTTCTACAAAATTTCGAGATGTTAGGAATGAATTGTTAACAATGATATAAAATTCGTGGTTTTATGAACCTAAGGGATGGGGGGCATTGGAGCCCCTAATCCTTATATGATCATTCAATATATAATATAATACAGAAAATTAAGCTACTTTATGTATATGTACCCCACATAAGTATATCTGATGACATTTTTTTGTTTGTGAAGGAACAGATGTGTAGCTTCAGGGGGCTAGGGGGACCCAAATGTAAAAAAAAATCCTTTTAATGTTGAAAATGTTCATTAAACAATGCTCAGTCCCCCCCCCCTTTACCAATTTTTGTTGCAGTATAGTTAAATAGGGTAATGTTGTAGTTAATGAATAAAATTTAGTAATGAAAGATATTGGAACTTATTTTACGTGTCAGGTTTCTTCGAGCTAGTCAAATTTCCCCCTGACTGTTCAACACCCTCCTAACCCTACTTTTAAAAAAGGAAACGATGCTACCTACCTGAGTAGGTTTTCTTTAAAGGTGTTCACCGAAAATGCTTGGTTGTATCCTCAAACTTGAATAGTTCTTACGAGTCTGGAATTCTTGGACCAATTTTTTTTTTATTAACCCAACTTAATTTTATTATTCTAAGAAGGCAAGGTTGTATGGTATGTACTTCATCTACATATGCTATGTAGTTTATGTTAAAAAAAAAACCCTTAGCGATGCTTGACGACATCCCATTCAAGGTGTAAAAAACAGTTTAAATGCTTCATATACTTTACTTAAAATGTTTTTGCGCATAATGCACTCCATACCGAAGATCCGTAGTCGCTAGTTTGTAAATGTTTACCCAACCGAAAATGTCCAATACTAACTGTTTAAATGTTATGGCCGAGGTAAGCACTATTTTAAAAATGGGTCAAAAGTCAATGTCAAATTTGATGGTACCATTTGAATTTCTTGTCACAAGAGGCACACATTTCAAGTGTGAAAGCCCTTGCACTAATAATTCAAAAATTATCGCTAAAGTTAAAATTTGTATTTTTTTTAAAGTTTGTCAAACTCGAAGGTCAAGATCAAGAGGTCAAATTTGATGGTTCTCAAAGATAGGTCTTATCAGATAGAATACATCTGTGAAAAATGAGAGCTATATTCCAACCCAATTAAAATAAATGGGCAAGATGAAAATTGTTGGGGACAAATTAAACGGATACACACAGCAAGACAGCTTAAACGACGGACAGGACGAAAACTTTACACCCCTGAATTTTAAAATAGTGGATATAAAAAAACTACAATAAGAAGGTTTTTCTTCCCTAATAAGTATTAATCTTTTGCTTCAATTTGATATGCTTTCACAAGTTACCAAATAGGAATTTTATTTAAATCATTAAATGGTCTTTCCAGTGACTTCACATTGATATTTTCAATGCTATAGTGGTACATCTCAGATAATTTCCCTCTATGATTAGAAAATTCACAGAAAATCTTACAAGCAGTTAATAAGCAAGAAAGAAGAAAGATTAGGAAAAAAAGTGTGTAAACAAAATGCCTTACACGTAACACGAAAAACGCCAATAACAATATCGCTTAATTTGAAAATTAGACGCCATACTGAAACATTGCCTTTCAAATGTTATCCTTAATACTATTTTTTTTACAATACCAAGTTTAAGCTGCTTTGTTTTCTTAGATTGCCTTTGTTCCTTTTCTTTCAGAAAAGACACTTTTTGCTCCTGGATGAAACATTCAAATTGTAAACGAACATCATTGAAGTTGACAGCAGTGTCTACAATCGTGCATTCAATATGGTCTTTCAATTCCCTCAGCTATAAAGTAAAATTGTTAACAAAAAAATAAACATGAATACGTTATATTAGGATAACGGAGGATATATTAAGTTAAACAGAAATGTCCTTGGCAACAAATAATATAGTTACATGTAACTATTATGATAACTTTAAGGCTATAAGACTTTTGTCTCTGTTTACTATACTGATTACACTGTGACGTTATGAAAACTTTGATTTACTTTTGTAAAGACGATAAAAAAAATTAACTGCTGCGTTCAATATTGAAAACATGATCAACTACAGTGACCAATATGATAACATTGGTAGTCTAAATTAATCCTTTGACGCTATGAAAACTTTGAAATACTATAGTGATCACTATGACACTATAGTGATTAATTTGGAAACAATTTACTTATAATAAGTGATTACTTTGATATTTTGATTTCCTATAGTAAATTATAGTTAAGTTTAGTATTCTTTTTTGGGATACTTTTTTTTCATTCCAGCATGTTCAATTTTATTCTAATTATCTAATATTTTCATATAACATCATCTGGTGAAGAACTCTACATGTAAGGTTACTTGCAAATTCTGAAATACACTATTGATTTTACAAAAAGCTGTAAAGAAATACTTCGACGCGTTTTATTAGTTATAATCCTTTCCTGATTCTATTACATACTAATCATAGTCTTTTATGATCACATTCTGCGATATATCAAAGACAATTAGATTTAATATGTGTGTTTTAGTTCAAACTAAATTATTCCGTCTTACCTTTGTGCTTTCTAAATTATCTTGACCATCAAGTTTAAATGGACTTGTGCAACGTTTCATTGGGGTTCCTGTACGATTCAAGTTACTCTGTTTAATGAAAAAAATATCCATGTAGTAACTGAAATTACATAAAACACATATGTTGCTTATCATAAGGATAAGTTCTCTTTATGTTTGACCAAATGTATATGATTGTTAACACTGTATCCATCGCAGAACATGAACAGGTGACATACATATACATGTATTAGTTTGAATTGAAACAATCCTATTCTGACTGAATTAAGTATAATTTTATGCGTTTTTAAAAATTAACTGATTATTTACTTTTCTTAAGAAGGGATGTTATTAGGGGTAATTAAACATTTTTTATATTTTTTTTTAGATTTCATTATCAAAAGAGTTTTCCTAATTTTTAAAGGCAGAATTCTGTTGTTACCGAAGGGCAAATATTCTGATATACTCACCCAAGAAGTCATGCTGCTTCTTTTAAATAACATTCTTAAAATACAAAAAAGTCAGAAATTGTTTTTGATTTATACAATTTATCCAAAAATGTTTTCATAACGTTTAAAATTACGTTTTGTTGTGTACGTTTTCTAAGCAACCGATGTAATTAAATATCGAACCCGAGCTACAGTACGTACCATTTAAACAGGTGAAAGTGAGAGGGTGAAATAACTGTTTACGCGCGGTGGTAACTGTTTCTTATATGATTTCGCTTCTTTTTGGGGGGAGGAGATAGGGTTTTAGTGAAAATGGCAGCTTTTGTGATAGATCTTATTCAAAAATGATATACAATCCTATATATTGGTCCTGAATATATCAAACAGATTGTCCTTAACGTAATTTTATTTAGGATGACTAATTAAATAATAAAATACTTTCTTTAATTGTTAGAACGGGAATGAATGTCGCAGCTGTTGCAGAAAAAATACGCGGGTTATGTAATTTTTTTCTGCAATAGCTGTGACATTCATTTATGAACTACAACCAAAGAAAGACATTTTATTCTTTATATTTATATCTGTTTTATTAACCATTTAATAATAATCAAAGTAGGATTAAGAAGATTAAATATTGTATAAATGATGCAAATGTCTTTGCACGTTTCATTGATGGAACAGCCACTGATCAAGAGATCTGTACGGATGACATGCCTAGTGTAGTTCATGCACTGATTAACGCAATGGGTTTTCTTAAAAAAGAAACGGAAAAAATATCCAGTGGATGTAAATATGATGAATATTAACAGTGCAAATATGTGAAGTGGGCATACAAAAACAGATCTATAAAGTTTCTGAACATTAATGGTGCTAATGGTCAGAAACAATTTTTCTGTATCCTGAATGTATGTGTGTTGATTCGATACGCAAGAGCATATACTACATTGGAATGATATCGTAATTGAGGCAAGTTATTGGCAAACAAGTTATGAACAATGGATATAAACAGACTTGTTTAAAGTCATTAATTTGAACGTTCTATGGTCGATATAACGATCGATTTTATTTTTGACATTAAAAGATTACGCGCTACTTTTGCCTGCAGAATAAAAATCAAAAATATCAAAAACTTATATGCATTTACGATAACGTAAACAGAGATTTTTTGATGAATACATCTAACTTTTCATAATCATAGTAATATTTAAAGATTAATTAAAATTTTATTTTTGCTGTAAGTTATATAAAGGTATATCGTACAAGTTTAAATATTCCTTAATCAATTTAAGTAACTGTAAAATCACATATTTTCGAGGGGTCATGGAATTTGATTTCGTGGTTAAAGATCTGTTCAGTGGAAATAAATGTGAAAAACTGCATTTTGTGGTGGACTTAAATTTATGGGTCCATAACTTGAAAGCAACGAAAATTAAACGCCCGCGAAAATTAGGAATTTTACAGTATATACTAACCTTTTCAATAACTTACAGGTAACTATATATTTACCTCTTTCACATCGTCTCCAAAGTTCAGTCTTATTGCTTTTACTGGTAAATTATTTGCATTCGTTTTGTCATTGTCACTGAGATGTTGATTTTGTAGATATGTGTAATCATCAATTGCCTCCAAAACCAGGGCCGACACACATTTTTCTTTCCCTCGCAATAAGATCCACGTGTCTAAAAATGCAAGCAAAAATAAGTCGGTTAAAAATTAAGTTCCTCTGACGCTAAAATCAATTGTCTTGATAATTGAAATATAAAAAGAAATTTATTTTACATTTGCAGATTCTAAAATTTCAGGTTGCGTTTATACAAACCATTTACAATATGTCTAAATGCATTAAACTGCCGCTGAAAAAATGCACAGTCGCATACTAAAATACAACTATTTTGCAATATACGTGTATTCTTTTTATTTAGCAATTTATATTTTCTTATTGAGCTCGCTTCCACCAGATGATTGTGATAGATTTAAGTCTTGTTGTAATGTTTCTGAGTTTTGCTATAAATCTTACCTCCACCACTATGCTTTGTTATAGATCTTATCCCCACCACTGTGCTTTGTTATAGATCTTATCCCCACCACTGTGTTTTGTTATAGATCTCACCCCCACCACTATGCTTTGTTATAGATCTTATCCCCACCACTGTGTTTTGTTATAGATCTTACCCCCACCACTAGGTTTTGTTATAGATCTTATTCCCACCACTGTGAGATTTTTAGTGCATCTTACCCCCACCACTGTGTTTTGCAGCCTCTATAAGAGCGTTCTGAAAAATTGGTCGAGGCCAAACCTTTGGCACAAAGGTTTGAGAATCTCCGATAATAGAGAAAACCAGTTTCGGTACATCATATCTAACCATTAGCTTCTCCCACAAAGACTTTATCTGAAACATAAATATTTTTTAAAGGAAAAATAACGGCAATACATTTTTTTAAACACAATATATTTAAAAATTAAAGAGTAATAGACAGCAGTATTATAATATCAATAAATCATCATTAGATTTTACCTTGGCGTCCATCTTCAGTCGTCTTACTGAATATATGTTCAGTTATGTCTTGCTTTTTATATGATCAAACCTATCTGGATCTTTTGAATGTTTATTATCTGATATCTCGTTCATTATTGTTAATAATGATGAAGCATTCACAATATGTTAAAAAAAATATATACTTTTGACAGAAGACTTATCGGTGTTAAAGAATTTTAAGTTGATATGCAGTTGAGTAGTATTACAACCCGGATATTTCTTTGTAAACGACCGAATATAGAAGAAAGATTCTTTTATTTAAAATAAAACCCCCCAACTTTGGTAAATAATTAAAAGGTGCACATAAAGCGAAAGATTTAATTCGTAAAATCATTCTTTTTGACAACAACCATAAGTAGAGATTTGAAATACTTTTAATTATAATGCCCTTTATGACACTATAAAGAAGGTCAAGTTTGGCACGATTTAATAAATAAGCGGGTCTCGCTAAGCTATGTTATTGCCTATAATAAATGTTGTATTGGATGCCGTCATGTAATATCCTCGTCTTTTTATTCTGAACGTGCAGGAGACGACAACAAACTCGCGATGTTATCAACACGGAAGTAATTTTCGTCGAAAGTGTTTTGTGGGCGCGTGAAGATACACTGTATAATAAATAAAAACATAATTTACAAGTTAATAAACAAGGTATAAAACTTCTATGCAGAAATAAAAAAAACAATAACGACTGGAACGATAAATTACGCCAGGCAAAATATAGCTGTAATTCACCTTTTTCTGATAAAGAGTGTCGAACATGAACAATTTATATAAAACAAAAAATGGGGGGGGGGTCGAAATAAAGAAATATGGATGTGGAAGATTGCAATGAACTTCAAACAAAAATTTCAATTTAATGATATCGCACAGAAAAAACTTATTCTTAGCTTCATATTTCAAAGCTGGTCATCTAAGGTTTCATACGGTTAAGAAGAAAAATGTTTATATGCACTGGCTCTTTCAAAACAATGATGTAAAATCTTTTACATAAGCAAAGGGGAGTGTACTTAAGAATTATCAAAATTTGACAGGCAAATTTTAAAGTGAAATCACTTGCAGTATGTATATAAAGTTTTGATTTTTTCCCAAACTTGATTAAATTTGGAATATAAGGACAGGCTTGAGCAGCAAAATGAGAAATATTTTGATAGATACTTTTAAAATTGTTTATTAAATTATAAAATAGTAGTTATAATGCCAATGTAAAGCTTTTTTCTTTTCAGATAATCAGTGAAACTTTATACCCACTTAATAAATTTTAAATCTGGAAGAATGCCAATAACTCTTTTTATTAGTTACGGCGAAGGCCTGTCTTTTCAATATAAGATTCAATTTTCATATCAAACGAGGGCTTCTATAAATATCATTACATGTAGTTTTATATTCTCTAGCTGTTTTGAAAGTTTAATTAAATGCTACACAATTTGAAATAATCGATATCTAGATAGGGGACCTATCATTAGGATTATTTTTGATTTGTTATCGCGTCGAGTATGTTTTTAGGTAATAAAGACTGCGATTTATATGGAAATAAAGGCAATATGAAACTTTTTTCAATTAACCTAGATTCTACTTGAGTACCATGTTTATTACATCTCTCATTACATCGAAAGTCCTGAATATCTCTTTATTCCAAAAAATAGGGGGATTCGAAATGAAGAAATATGGCTGTGGAAGATTGCAATGAATTTTAAAAAAGAATTTCAATTTAATAATATCTCAGAAAAAACAGCCTATTCTTAACCTCAATTTTCAAAGCTGGTCATCTAAGATTTCATAAGGTTAAGAACAAAAATTCTTTATATGCACTGGCTCTTCCAAAACAATGATGTACTTTCTTTTACATATGCAAAGTGAAGTGTACTTAATTAAGAATTATCAAAATTTGACAAGCAAATTTTAAAGTGAAATCACTTGCAGTATGTATGTAAAGTTTTACTTTTTTTTCAAACTAAATTAAATTTGGAATATAAGGGCAGACTATAGCAGGATATTAAGAAATATTTTGATAGAAACTGCTTTTAAAAATGTTTATTTAATCATAAAAAAGTAGTATAATGCCAACGTAAAGCCTTTTCTTTTCAGATGATAAGTGAAACTTAACACTCACGTAATAAATATAAATCTGGAAGAATGCCAATAACTGCTTTTATTAGCTACGCGGAAGGTCTGTTTTTTCAATATATAATTCAAAATTCATCTCAAATGAGGACTTCTCTAAATGTCAATACATGTAGTTTTATATTCTCTGGCTGTTATGAAATTTTAATTTAACGTAACACAATTTGAATTAATTCATATCTAGACAGGGGACCTATCTTTACAAATATTTTCGATTTGATATCGCGTCAAGTATGTTTTTAGGTAATAAAGACTGCGAATCATACGGAAAAAAGGCAATATGAAACTTTTTTTCAATTAACCTAGATTCTACTTGAGTACCATGTTTATTACATCTCTCATTACATCGAAAATCCTTAATTTCTCTTTGTTCCGATTGATGTCCGTCTTAAGTTTGTCTCTTAAAATACTTCGAAAGTGCTGCTAAAATCCCGAGTTAAGCAAGGTTTCACGAAAATTTTCGGTTCATATGTAAAAAATTCAAAACATCGGGTAAGGTTTCGAGCGAATGTGTGGAATAATTATTTTACTGACGGGACAGTGGGAGTCTAGCAGCACTTCTTAGGCAAAATAGATGTTTTTCAACTACATTATTTACTCAAAGAAATTATTAAACTCCGGAGTATTGTTGTTGTGTTAGCTTTTTTATTAAGGAAAATTTCGCTATTAATAGAAGTCACGTGATGCTGTGGTGGTGGTGCACGTCGTTGCGTTGGACACTCTTTTATCTTTATGCAATAAATAATAAAAGTTTACATTTCTCAGCGGTTTTATTAAATTATCAAACTTAATTTTCTTTCAAAATACTAAATTTCCCGAAAAATGACTTATATGCTTCCTTAACATACCCGCGTTTCATCTTCTTCTCAAGAACCACTGGGCCAATTTCAACCAATCTTGCTACAAAGTATCCTTGGGTAAAGGGGATTCAAGTTTGTTCAAATGAAGGGCCACCCCCTTTTCCAAGGGGAGATAATTATGAATTAGAGAAAAATTAATGGCATTTTTAAAAAAATCTTCTTCTTAAGAACCACTGGGCCAAGAAAGATGAAACTCATGTGGAATCATCCTCAGGTAGTGTAGATTCAAATTTGTTCAAATCATGACCCCCGGGGGTATGGTGGGGCCAAAATGGCCGATCAAAGTTTTACATAGGAGTACGAGGGTCATTCAAAAAGTTCGTAGACTTTTGTCCTAACTTTTTTATTTAACGTCACATTATATCCAAATTTGACACAAATATTTTTTAACAACAGATTCAAATAATTTTAGTAAAAAAATGAAATGTATCTTCATATTTATTAAAATTACCAAGGATTTAGAACAGCAAAAATAGCGTCACGGAGCACCGTCAAAATTGAGTAATTTACTAATTTTCACGTATAGTATTTACAGCCATACCTCTAATAAATGGAGCTGAAACGAAATAAAATTTACATGTTTAAATAAAGTATTGCTGTATTAATTAAAATTAAAAAAGGTTATGTAATATGTCGCTCCATTTAAAAGATATCAGTTTTTAAATACATATGGACTTGATTAAAAAAGGCAAAAAACCATGACGTTGGAGGACGTCACGGAGCAGCAAATAGCAATGAATTTCATTTTACATCCGGGAAACTTCTTCTAGAAGCTTAAAAAATGTGTATAAACCAGGATCTGTATGAACAATAATCTGTGTAATTGTATTTAGAAAATACAATTTTTGAGTGGTAGCAAGTTTGAATCGGACGATGGATTGTCTGCAAAGAAACAGGTTAAGGTTAAAAATATTGTCAAAGAGTTAGGAACGTCATTGAACGTGATGCGTGCTTCACTATTGCAGAATTAATAGAGTTACATGGTAAATTAAAAAATTTGAAAACAATGACATTATAATTCAAGCTATATTTGTACAATTTTTAGCAAACTAAGTGTTAAGTGTTATGGATATGTTTTTTAATGGAGAAGACGCTACAAACCGTGTTTGAAATTAAAAAAATAAGAGTATAATTTTGACAAACTTTCTCAACGTTGTTTTTTGACGTTACAATGTTCAATGTTGGTTAACCGTGCTCCGTGGTAATAAAACATGTTGCTTTAAATTTTGGCTAACATGAGTTCTATTTAATCAAATGGAATGAAACTTCACACTTCGACAAAATAAATGTTTATGTTTACGAAAATGTGTTGATCTATAATCTTGTAGTAATCATATGACGATGAGAAGCACTGTCTACGTATTTTTTGAATGACCCTCGTATATAGGGAAAATCTTTAAAAATCTTCTTCTCAAGAACCACTGGGCCAGGAAAGATGAAACTCATGTGGAATCATCCTCAGGTAGTGTAGATTCAAGTTTGTTCAAATCATGACCCCCGGGGGTAGGGTTGGGCGAAAATGGCCCATCAAAGTTTTACATAGGAATATATTGGAAAAATCTTTAAAAATCTTCTTCTCAAGAACCATTGAAGCAGAAAAGATGAAACTCATGTGAAATTTTCCTCAGGTAGTTTAGATTCAAGTTTGTTCAAATTATGACCCCCGGGGCTAGGGTGGGGCCAAAATGGCCGACCGAAGTTTTACATTGGAATATATAGGGAAACCTTTAAAAATCTTCTTTTCAAGTACTTCAAAGCCATGATTAGTAATATTTATATGGAATCATCCTCAGATAGTGTAGATTC